AGCATGGGGAGATGGAGCATGGGGAGATGATGGAGCATGGGGAGATGATGGAGCATGGGGAGATGGAGCATGGGGAGATGGAGCATGGGGTGGCATCTCAGAGGCCCCTCATTCTCCACTCTCACGGCGTGCTTTCCAGGGCTGATCCATAGGACTCCCCGGGAGAAATCCATTCCTGAGCACTCCTGGAGGCTTCACCTCAGCTCATCCTCCCAGGAGGGCCTGAAGGAGGCCGGGAGGAGGCCCAGGCTCAGAGCAGTTCAGCAGCTTACAGCCCCCCGGGACGAGCAGGGCAGTGGTGGGAGCAGAGGCCTGCAGGTGGATGGGAGGGGCCCCTCCTGGAGGAAGAGATGAGGGAGCTTGGTGTTAGGGGCCTGCGTTGGCCATGCTGCAGGGGAGGAGACTGAGGCCCCGGGCCAGGGCGAGGCCCTGAGCGCTGTGCGTTTGCTCTTGAGTCTTGCCCTGTCTCCTCGCTCCAAAGTCTCCAACCTCTGAGTGGCCCGAGTGGCTTTCCTTTCTGCTGCCTGGAGCCCTAACTCTGTCCCCAGTAAAGCAGCATGCAGAGCTGCCCTGGGACCCGGGTTGGTGTCCCCTTTGCTCTCCCTGACCAGGCTGTGAGCTCTGGAGGGCAAGGCAGCCGCCAGCTGGCTCCCAGGGCCCAGAGCAGGTGCTGGGACAGTCTGGGCAAGCAGAGGGGCTCGTTTCTTTGGGCTGCGCAGCATCTTCTACCATCTCTTCTTTCAGAAACATGTGGTCTGGCAGCAAATCCCTGCACTGTGTGTTCAACTCTGAAACCATCCTCCCGGGGGGCGGGGGATCTCACCTGGTGTGGACAGGCTGGAGCGGGCAGGGAGTCTGCTTTGCAGATGGTGGGGATAGGGCTGAGGGGTGGGAGGGGGGCTCAGCCAGGCCAGGAGGTCCTCAGGGTCTCCTGCCCAGGGAGGGATGCCAGGCTCTCCAGGCCCCACCATCCTCACCTCAGGCCCCGCCCCCAGCTATGCCGATGAGCTTCCTCACGTGGACCCAGCGCAGCCCTTCCCGGGGGGCAGGTGCCACGTCTGAGGGTGCATCTCCTTACTCAGGCTGCCTAGTGGAGCTTCTCAGACCAGGAGGCCTCCACAGGAGGAATTCGCTGTCTCAGTCTGGAGGCTGGAAGTCCAAGTCAAGGTGTCGGCAGGGTTGGGTCCTTCTGAGGCCGTAAGGGCGAATCTGTTCCTGGGGGTTTGCTGGTGATCTTTGGCGTTCCTTGGCTTATGCATGCATCACCCCAAGCTCTGCCTCCATCTTCCCCTGGCGTCTTCCCTGCACTTGTGTTTCTGTGTTTGAATTTTCCCTTTTTATAAAAAACACCAGTCTTCTTGGATCAGGGAGCCTACGCCACCATGATGACCTCATCTTCACTAATGACCTCCGCAATGACCGTCTTTCCAAACCGGCTCACCGTCTGAGTCCAGGGGGACTTCAACATGTGAATTTGGGGGGAACACAATTCATGTCCCATAACAGGGTGCCTCAAGGGAGAGGATGGGGTACAGCACCTCTCCTGGCCCAGAGCCAGGCACGAGGTAGATGCTTAGCAAAGTAACCACCATCTCTGCTCTCTACCCCTCCTGCCAGATACACACAGGCAACAGGGGCTCTGGGAGGATAACACTGTTATACAGAGGACACAGATGGCCTCTCCTAGCCTCCATTTCCAACTCCTATGGGGGACAGGGGTGATCATAGTCTAAGTAATCCTGTGCCCTCAAGGCCCAAGGCCCTGTCTCGAGTAGCCCTGCTGATACCCCAAACCCAGGGACTTTGCCCCAGCTGCCTCCTCACTGCACCCACCACAGGGCCTTTGCCCCTGCTGCCCCCTGGTCTGCAGCACTCTTTTCCAGAGAGCCACGCGGCCTCTCCCGCCTCACTCAAGGGTCTGCTCAAACACCGTCTTCCCAGAGGGCCCTCCTTACTGCCCTTCTAAAGCCGCCCCCAGCTCCCTTTTCTGCAGCACTGTGGCTGACACCTTGCTTTACTTTCCTTCATAACATTTAAAAATTCTTTTTATTGTGGTAAAATATACATTACAGGGAACTTACTACTTTAATCCTACTTTTTTTTTTTGAGACGGAGTCTAGCTCTGTTGCCCAGGCTGGGGTGTGCAATGGTGGGGCTGTCAGCTCACTGCAACCTCCACCTCCCGGGTTCAAGCAATTCTCCTGCCTCTGCCTTCTGAGTAGCTGTGATTACAGGTGCCTGCCGCCACGGCTAATTTTTATATTTTTAGGAATGATGGTGTTTCACCATGTTGGTCAGGCTGGTTTTGAACTCCCGACCTCAGGCGATCCACCCGCCTCAGCCTCCCAAAGTGCTGGGATTACAGGCGTGAGCCACCGCGCCTGGCCACCCTTAACCCTTTTGAAGCGGACAGTCAGTGGTACTGAGTGAATCCACGGTGTCGTGCGGCCCTCACCTCCACACAGCTCCAGAACTGTCTCATCTGCCCAAACTGAAACTCTGCACCCACGAGACACTTGCTCCCTATCTGCCTCCCCCGAACTCCCGGCACCCTCCATTCTGCTTTTGACGCGATGACAAATTCCCTGTGAATGTGACTCCCCTAGGGACCCCACGTAGGTGGACTCTCACTGTGTGTTCTGCGCCTTGCCTAGTTTCAGCATGACGGCCTCTGGCTGCCCCGCTGGAGCGGGTATGGTAGTTTCCTCTTCTGTAGGGAGAGAAATGTGCATTGTGTGAGGATCACACCTACTGTTGACCCACCCTTCCCTCGATGGGCACATGGGTTGCCTCCACCTTTGACCAAGGTGAAGGATGCAGCTGGGCACGTGAGCGTGTGTGTTTCTGTTCGGGTCCCTGCTTCCCGCACCTTAGAATATGTACTCAGACGCCCGGAGCACCTGAAACATTCATTTGTTTGCGTGTCGTCAGCTTTCCCGAGTAGAACACAGGGACTCCAGGGAGGAACCATGCCTATTTCATGCACCGCTGTATGCCTCGTGCCTGGGAAGCTGCCTGGCTCTGTGCATACTTGTGGAGGGGTTCATGGAAGTCACCATGAACCCCCTCACCCTAGCGACACGGCAGGGGACCTGGGTCCTGGAAGCCCCCGAGGTGGCCGAGCCAGCCTGGGCATCCTCACTTCTGCAGCTCTGGCGCCTGCCCACTGTTCCTTTCTGCCACCTGAGCCATCCGTCCTCCTTTGATTAAGTCCCATTTTGCCATGAAAAGAAAAGGAGGTGACAGTTGGCTTGTGGGGGAAGGTCATTCATTCCGGAAAGGAAGCTGGATGGTGGCGTCTCCATCGTCCGTGCCTGGCCCCTGCTCCCTGCAAACTCCCTGTCCTTCGTGCTGCCCACCTGCCCGTCCCCCGCTGTGGGCAGCGAAGCCAGTGTCAGACGAGGCAGCCCACACCCAGCCTCTCCTGGATCTCATTGAACAGGCAGCTCTAGACGGATCAATGCCAGCCAAACGATGACCAGTTGTGGCCAGCAGTCCTTGAACCTGCTCGCCGTCCTCTTCTCGTTGCTGTTCTCTGCAGGTAAAACCTCCGTGGATGCTGTGGGTTCGGGCGGTGTGGGGAGGGCGTGGTCCCTTCCTAAGGTTCCTGGTGGCCCATCTGGGGTTCTGGGGGCGCAGAGAGGCTTGCCTTTAGTCCTCCACCTTACTGGTGCCCTCTGGTGAGGAGCTGATGTGGGGTGCTGTGTGGTTGGTCACTGCCTGTCTCTGTATCTCTGTCTCTGTCTCTGTTTTTGTCTGTCTCTGTCTCTCTGTCTCTGTCTCTCTGTCTCTGTCTCTGTCTCTCTGCCTCTGTCTGTCTCCATTGTGCACCACAGCCCTGAACCTGCCGTGGAGCTCACCTGGCTGCCAGGACCCCTGGGAGAAGCCCCGACTCGCATTCTCTCCTTCGCCCCTGCAAGACAGTTAGGCAGTGTCCCAGTCATCCCATTTTATAGATGAGGAAACTGAGGCCTGGAGAGGGAGCTTACTTGCCGGGACAACACAGTTAGTGGATTCTAGCCCGACTGGCCTCCTGGGCTGTCCCTGGGTTTCCAGCTTAGGTCACAGGCAGGCTCCTGCTCTCCCAGTTACAAGGATGATCAGCACAAACGGAATCCCCTGCGCCTCCCAGCTAGAGCTGAGCAGCCCAAGGGCAAGGGCAGCCCTGCACGCCAGCCAGGGCCTGCCCCCCACCAGGAGCCCTCTCCGGCTCTCCAGCTTCTGCTCCCTGTCTCTCTGTGTCTCTGGTCTCTGTCTTTCTGTGTCTCTTTGTCTCTCTTTCTCTGTCTTTCTGTCTCTGTCTCTCTGTCTCGGTGTCTCTCTGTCTCTGTCTCTCTCTGTCTCTGTCTCTGTCTCTGTCTCTCTGTTTCTGTCTCTCTGACTCTATCGCTCTCTGTCCCTCTGTCTCTGTCTTTGTGTCTCCGTGTCTGTGTCTATTTCTCTGTGACTGTGTCTATCTCTGTCTGTCTGTCTCTGTTTCTGTCTCCCTGTTTCTGTCTCTCTGTTTCTATCTTTGTCTCTCTGTCTCTGTCTCCATCTGTCTTTCTGTGTCTCTGTGTCTGTATCCATCACTGTCTGTCTCTCTGTGTCCGTGTCTGTCTCTGTTTCCGTCTCTCTGTCTCTCTGTCTCTGTCTCTGTCTCCGTGTGTCTCTGCACCTCCTCATGCCCGTGTGTTCTAATAGTCACTGACACCAGCCTGGTGGTTGGCAGCCCTACCCCTTTGCTGGGGGCAGCTCCGAGGGAGGCTATGAGGGTGTCGGAGGTGCTTGGCAGGGCTCCCCAGACAGCAAAGCCAAAGCCACGCCCAGGCCAGGGGGTCTGAGGGCCACCCAGCTGCTCTCCACACCCCAGGTGCTTCCCATGTTTTGGCTCACCTGGTCCTCACTGCCCTTGGAGGACGGACCCACTCAGCCCATTTTACAAATGAGGAAGGTGGGACTCAGAGAAGGAAAGTGGCCAGCCCGAGGTCACGCCTCAGCCATTGAATGAGGGCCATCCAGGTGCAGGAGCTACAGGGAGCCCTGCACATGGGGGTGTGTTCATGGCTGAGGCCTGGGCCCCAAATGCGGCTGTCTCCTTAGCGTCCCTGCTCTGCTAGGGCTGGCCTCCTAACACAGCGTCCCTCGGCCTGGGGTCACACCGCGCCCCAGAGCAGAAGCCCAAAGATGCTGCCTTACTGCCCCAAAAACACGAACAGCCTCCAGCTCTAGGTGGGGGCTGCGCCTTGCTGTTCACAGAACGCTCCTGGGAGCCCCCAAGCCCCCTGAGAGACCATGGGTCTTTCCTCATTGAGGAGAGGAGGCCAGTGAGGTCACAATGGCCCAGGCAGTCCCCTGCCAGGACTCCCGCCCAGTTGTCCTGGCTCCCAGCCCAGGGCTCTGTTGGCTCTGGGGAAGCAGCCGGGGAGGGCTCATCATTACCAAATGGCCAAAGCCTGTGGGTCTGACCATCCAGCAGTGGCTGGGTGAGCTGGGTGCTGGTACTGGGTGAGCTGGGTGCTGGTACTGGGTAGGAAACTTCCCATCCCCTTGCCTGGCCGGGCCTGCCCTCCCCTGCCTCCAGCACTGCACATCAGGCTCCTCCCAGTCCCTCGAGGCCCAGCTCAAAGGCCGCCTCCTCCATGCTGCCCTGCCACTCTGTCCCTTCCCTCCCTGAGTCCTGTGGTAGCCTCACGGGCTGGTCGCAGGGCCTCAGCTAGACTTTCTGACCAGCAGCGCAAGTGCGCCTGGTCCCTCCCCAGCTGCCCACAAGCTGAGCTTGAGCAGGGCCTCCTCACGACCTGGGCAGTGACCCAGACAGTGGCCGGGCCGGGCCAGCTGCCTCTGCCCCTTGCCTCTAGGCCAGTGGGTCCCAAAGCATAGCCCATCAGCACCCCCTGAAGCGCTTGCCAGGACAGATGGCAGGGCCTACCCCGGAGCTTCTGATTCAGAAGCTGGCCTGAGAGCCGCATTTCTGACAAGACCTCTGGGGATGCCCTTGAGGCAGATCGGGGGCCACACTTGGGGAGCTGCTGCTCTGAGCCGCAGTGCTGTCCCCTGTCCCCTGGGAATAAGTTAGATGGAGCGAGACAGTCGTCTGCTTGGGGCTTTCTTCATAACCTCTGCATCCCCAGAGGGTGTCCTCTTCTTTCTGAAGGTTGAGGATGACCAGGGGAGCCAAATCATGGGAAGCACCTGGGGTGGGGAGAGCCACTGGGTGGCCCCCAGACCCCTGGCCTGGGTGTGGCTTGGACTTTGCTGCCTGGGGAGCCCTGCCAAGCCCACTACCAGCACCCGGAAGCTCCCCCGGTCCCCAGAAAGCTGGGACCTTTCTCTCGCAGTGGTCATGCCCATCCCCACAGAAGAGAGTGCTTTCTGTGGGGGAAGGGATGTAGAATTTCACACACCCCCGCCCCCCGGGCAGCCTCAGCACCCTGGCAGCACGTGAAGGCCGCCTGCCCACCTGCCAGCCCAGCCCAGCCGGGACTCCCCTGCGGCAGCCCCGGGTGGGCAGGCGGGAGCTGTGTGGGATGCAGTCTAATAACCTCTCCGCAGACGCAGCGCTTTCCACGGGCTGGAGGAGCTCCTGCAGAACCAGTGCCTTTGTGGTTGAAGGAATGTATTCAGCCAGCGAAGCCCCTTTTCAGCGATACAAATTAGATACAGTGATCTCTTTCATGAAGATACTAATTAAGCCTGAGACAGCGGCTCTAGGATTTTTCCATTGTTACATTTGTTCAGGCTTTCAGTCCTGTTGATCACTATTGGCACGACTCGTAAATATCGTCCTGGCTTTGCAGTAGCATTGGGGACTGAATAGGGACCTCCGCCCGTGAGCAGAAGGGCAGGAGGGCTCCAGGCTGGGGCAGAGGCGGGGGTGACCGAGGCAGGCTCTTGGGGACCTTGCGGTCTAGGGTGTTCGTTTAGTAGAAACCAGTGCCAGCCACCGCCCCCCGCCTGGGCCAGCCTGGGCTTAGCGACAGGCCCACCACGGCCCACCTGCCAACAAAGAGCTAGTGACACAAGACTAGAGAGGGACTCGGACTTCAGATCCAGGCCTGGGTTCCATTCCTGCCCTCCAACACTTAACTCGGGCCAGTCACCTTAGGTCTCCGAGCCTCAGTTTCTCCATCTATAAAGTGGGATCTCAAATTTTCTTGGCTCTGTGAGTCAAACAAGATGGGCCTGTGAAGCATACAGTAGGTGCTCAATTAGGGCTGATTTCCTAATTGAGTGCCTGCTGCATGTCAAGCGTGTCCACTGAGGCAGGAAAGCCAGCCCTGCCCTCCAGGACCCCCTAGTCTGGGTGACGCAGAGAGTGTAACCAGGGCTGGGGGAAGGTATAAACAGGGAGGGAGGCTGGGGGTAATGGGAGCCCAGACGGGAGGTTCACAATGGACCACAGAGGTGTCCAGGGGAGGGAAGAAGCAGGCAGGACCCTAGAAGAGGCAGGCCCGTACCCTTTCCTCTTGGCACCCATGGACTGGTGAGGGACCCCTCTGAGCCCGGTGACTCTGTCTTCCAGTCTTGTCTGCACATTTCCGGGTCTGCGAGCCGTACACAGACCACAAAGGCCGTTACCACTTCGGCTTCCACTGCCCCCGGCTCTCGGACAACAAAACCTTCATCCTCTGTTGTCACCATAACAACACAGTCTTCAAATACTGCTGCAACGAGACGGAGTTCCAGGCGGTGATGCAGGCGAACCTCACGGCCAGCTCCGAGGGTTACATGCACAAGTGAGTGCCACGGGGGTGCGGGGGGACACAACCCCACCGCCTCGGGCCCCAGGCAAGGCAAGCTGCCTCCCAAAGTCCCATCCCCTGGGGAGGCGGTTGGGTAACCACTACCAGGTTAGATGGGCCTGGAAGGCGTCTGGGAGAGTCTTTGGATGAGCAGGGCTTCTGGCCTATTTTGCCTTCTAAGCTTCAGCCTTTTCATTTGAGAAATGGACACAGAGGCCCATGCCTGTAATGCCAGCACTTTGGGAGAACGAGACAGGTGGATCACCTGAGGTCAGGAGTTCGAGACCAACCTCATCAACATGGTGAAACCCTGTCTCTGCCAAAAAGACAAATATTAGCTGGGTGTGGTGGCAGGTGCCTGTAATCCCAGCTACTCAAGAAGCTGAGGCAGGAGAATCACTTGAACCCAGGAGGCAGAGGTTGCAGTGAACAGAGATCATGCCATTGCACTCCAGCCTGGGCGACAGGAGTGAATCTCCATCTCAAAAAAAAAAAAAAAAAAGAAAGAAAGAAAGAAAGAAAAAAATGGACACAGATGTGAGGCTAAGGATGTGGAAAGCTTTCAGGCATAGAAGGCGCCTTGGCCTGTAATCTACTGGGCCCGAGTCCCTTCATTCATTCTTCATTTATTCAAGAAATACTGATTGACAACATTGACCCAGAGATTAATCCCATGCAGTTCTTTTCCTTAAGGTGATTAAAATACATTGGGATCAGGGACCTGATGGAGGGGACCACAGGTGTGGAAAAAGAGAGTTTGTAGAAAAGTCATGAGAACATGCTAGGTAAAGCCATGGGGTGTGAAAACAGCATGCCTTTCTCATTATGAGTGATGCTGTCATCTTTTCACGTGTCTGAGAGACATTTGTGTTTCTTTTATTGTGCTTATGTCTTTTGCCATTTTTCTGTTGAATTTTTGGTCTTTTTCTTATTTATGTATGGGTGCTTTTTATATATGAAGGAAATATGATGAGTTGTAAATATATTCCCATCTTCTCATTGTTGGATGTTTTCATACCAATGTTTCCTCAGTGTGACTTTGACTTTATAGTGCTTTTTCCTCATGCTTAATTTTTAATTGTTATGTGATCACATTTTATCAATTTTGTTTTTCTTTTATGGCTTCTGGCTTTCACATCACACTAAGAAAGGCTTTTCCTGCTCTGAGGTCATTAAAAATGCCACCATGTTTTCTCCTAATTCTTTTGCATTTTAATTTTTTTGTCTTTAAGTATTTGAACTATCTGGAATTTACTTTGATGAAAGTTTTAAAGTAGGAATTAAACTTTTTTTTTTAATTCCATCACCGTTTATTAAATTGGCCCTCTCTTTTCCCCCGATATGAAATGCAAACTTACCAAATACCATCGTACGCTGAATTTGAGTACTGAGGTGGAACGTGATACATGCTTGGGCTTTGTTGCTCTGGTATAGGCTAGTACCTCGCTGTGTTAACTGCTGTGACTTTTAATATGTTTTAATGTCTTAGCAGGCTCTCCCTGGCACTTCTGTCATACAGACTTTAGAATTAGCTGTGTAGTACCCCTACCTCCCCCAAAAAATTCCAGTTAGTATTTTTTACTGAGATCATATTGAATTCATAGGTTAAACCAAGGATTGACTTTTCATGATGCTGAACATTTCTACACAAATCTTTCCATTTGTTCAAATTTTCTTTCCTAGCATTTTAGAGGTTTCTTCGTATAGATATCAGACATGTATTTTGCATTGATTCCAAGTTGTGTCTTTTCATGTTGCAATTGGTCTTTTCTTCCACTCTATCCTCTGACTATTGTTCAAAGCGATGCTTTTGAGATAGGAATACTGACAAAAGCAATGACTTGGAGACAGATTTTGCACTCAGCCACCTTACTGAAATTTCTTATTTTTTTTTTCAGTTCTCTTAGGTTTCCAATTAGTCCACGTGCAAACAGTGATAACTTTAGCACCCTACCTTGCCATTTTTGTTCCTCGCTCCTTTTTCTTGTCCGATTGTGTTGGCTAGTGCCTCTAAAACAGCCTTTAGAATTGTCAGGCTTCTTATCTTCTTCTGATTTGAATGTGATGCTTCAAGTTATTTTCCCAATAAGCATGAGGCTGAGTTTTGGGGGCAGATGTATTTTTTCATGATAAGGAAAAATCTTCCTGAACGGGGCATTTGTTGAAGGGAGGTGGTAGGTTGGGGGTGTGAGCCTTGATCTCTGTCTGATGTTGGGGCTGAAGGGCTTTTCCACCATGCTGCACTCACTCAGGGGGAAGCTGCCTCTTCCAAACCTCCCCACCTCCCACCTAGGCCAGCTCCCCAGCCTGCCTTCCTCAAAGGCACGGGTGCTTCCCCTCAGCCTCTTGCCATCTGCTCAGCCCTTAGAATAATTCTGTGTGTGAAGTCGCTCAGCAATCCCTGTCCATCACATCAGGGCTGGAATCAGGTCTGGGATTTGACCCAAGCCTCTTCTAAGACAAGGAACTGATTCCCTGAAGGAGGAGGGTGGTGCCAGGCCTGGGGCGAGGGCCCTGTCGTGCTGCAGGTTCTGGCTGAATGCCAGACAAGGCTTGGCAAAACAACCAGGCTTCTCCAAGGTTTGGTGACTGGTGTCTGGGATCCTCATGCTGAAGCCCACAGGTTTCTATAATCTGCATATTTGCACAGGATTTCACACGGAACGCTCCACTCCGCAGCACAGGGGTCCTGGCGGCTGCTGACGAAGAGCCGGGCTGCAAAATAAAGGCCTCCCCTGTGGAGAATGGGAGTATCGAGGATCAGAATTTTAATCCTTAGCCCTAAGAAGTGTTCACGGAGCACATAATTTTGCTGAGTCTCCGTGCTCAGCCCTCTCATCATCATGCCACCGTGGCCACCTGGCAGCCCATCCTCAGCCCATTTTACAGATGAGCAGGGGAGGCACAGGGCGGTTGAGTCACTTGCCTAATGAAGGCAGTGGTTGGTGGCGGAGCCGGCAGCCACCCCAGATGGTCTGGAATCACATTAGTTGTTCTGGAGCTTCTACCAACAGAGGCAGATCCGACTGGGGAGAGGGCCCCTGAGCGGGGATCCCACCCCAGCACCACTGACATCGGGGCCGGGTCATGCTCCATGTGGGGCCCACTCTGTGCATCGCGGGATGTCTAGTAACCTCCCGATGGCCTCCACCGACCTGGCGATAAGCAGCAATGGCTCCTGGGGCACAGAATCATCTCCAGTGAAGCTGCTGGCCTGGGGAGATCCCACCCCTGCCATTCTCCAGCAGCCCCCTCGCCACCTTCCCTCCCCACAGCTATAGTACGGAGCCCACGCAGAGGAGGACGTGGCTCCCGCTCCTCCCACAGGCCTGTCCTGCCATAGGTGCTCCTGCGCAGGGAGGCGCGATGCTTGATTCTCGAGACCTGACAGTGTTTAGAAGGTGGGAGCCCCACGCCCCAGAGGAAGGAGCACTTTGTGCAGAATTCTCTGCAGCCCAGTGGAAGAGCAAGGGGAGCCAGGCGAGAAACAACTGGTGGGGGCAGGGGGTTCTTGTCTAGCCTCGGGGGTGGAGTAGAGAGACTTTCTTCTGAGCCCATTAAGGGTCCCTGGAGGGCTTTAGCTGGCTTTGTGCTGCATGGGCCATGCCTGGGATAAGGCCCCAGAGGACATAGCGTGTCTGCAGGGGACAGGAGGACGGCCTAGGCTGGACCTGGACCCCATGGAGGGGAGCTGGAGAACTCATGGTCAAAGGTCACAGAAGTCTCTTCCCAGATGCACAGGTTCAAGGGCCGTGGGGAGAGGACCCAAGCCCAGGGAGCTGAAGTAGGGCCTGCTGTCCCGATGGGGCTGGCCCAGTGGCCCACAGGATGACGAGGATGGGCCTTGAAGATGAGCCTTGGGGAGGAGGAAGCTGGGCTGAAGTCTCGAGTCATTGAATGGGTAGGAGAGGGCCTGTGTGCGCAAGGGGACCCAGGTTGAGTCCACCTCTGTGCCTGTCCTGTGCTTTGGAGCTCTGGCCATACAATATCACAGGCTCCCCTGGGCAAGACACCTGTGGTGCCCATTAATCCTCAACCATGGGTGGAGGGAGGGGCTGGAGCCCAGGCTGGGGAAGTCACCTGTCCCAGACTACATGGATGTCAAGACCTGAGAGGCTCTGGAGCCCTGGTTCTGCCACCCCCTGGTGCATCTAGAAGGCCAGGACTTCTGTGCCATTGAGGACTGCGCCAGATCTCAGCCAAGAGGCTGGATGTTCCCGTATCCTAGACAGGTTAGCACTCGCCAGCAGCCCGTCGAGATGGACCAGGCCAGTGTGACTCCCAAAAAGGGCTTCATGCAGAGGCACGGGCTCCTGGCCCTCCCCCATTCCCCACCCCCGCCACAGCCCTCCCGCTGGTGAATCAGCCAGGAGGTGGGGCTGGTGACAGGGAAAAGGAGAGCGCTTCTGACTTATTTATTTGTGTTTTTCTGGAGGAACAGAATGGTTTGTTTTGGTTCTGGCTGCCTGGCAGGAAGGCAGAGCGAGAGCAAGCAGCCTCGCCAGGCCCACCACCATGGCGAGATGCCCGCTTCCAGCCACGTGGGCCGTAGAGAGACTTCGGGGAGAGGGGTGGGGCAGAGGCCCTGGTGTGCTGAGGAGAAGTGTACTGCATGCCTTCCCATGCCAGGGTGCTGCCAGGCATGAGCAATGGCGACTCAGACCCAGGCCCCTGAGCAATCTGTGGAAGCCTCAGTGTGGGGGTCCTGGTGGCCAGGCTGTGTGGGGGATGTGGTCACTTCTCTTTGGGGACAGGGAAAGTGTCTCTGGAGGAGGAGGCTGGGAGTGGCATCCTCCATCATGCATGGGCGTTTCTTCGCCAGGCAGATGGGCTGCAGGGGGTGGGGGCTGGGGAGGGACTCAAGGAAGACAGAACGGTGCACCCAAAGGCCTCCGCGTGTGCAGGCATGCCCTGTTGTCCCTCCCTTGGCCACACATGAAACCTCTGACCCCCAAAGCCGTGCCCTTCCGCAGGGAAAGGAAGTAAATGAACAC